GAAAAAGTTCTAGTCTTCAATATATTTCTAAGATAATTATAATTTAAAATTGACATACAACAACAATCTTCCAATCTCCCCCTCCCTCTCCTCTCTTCTTTCCTTTTTTTGAGACAGGGTTCCTCTGTGTAGACCAGGCTGGCTACAAACTCACATAGATCCCTCTGCTTCTGTCTACTGAGTGCTGGGAACCGAGGTGTGTGGTACCATTCCCTGGAAGTTTTCTATGGCCTTAATTTGTTAAATTATAATTATCTTAGAAATATATTGAAGACTAGAACTTTTTCTCTAGGACAATGTACATCATGTGTGAACCATCAATTTCGAAAGCATTTTTTGGTTGGGAGAGGGATGGAAGTTTATGGACCTTGTAGATCAATAGACTACTGTAGAATGTAGATCAATCAACACTGTAGAATATAGGACCGTGTCATCCCTGAATACAGTGACAAAATGTTGATAAAGGCCCAGATAGTAAATACTTTTGGCTTGCTGTTTCATGGGCTCTATAAAGGCCCAGATAGTAAATATTTTTGGCTTTCTGTTTCATGGGCTTTTTGTGGTTGTTATTGTAGTAACTTCTCGGCTCTTCTGTTGAAATCCAAAGACATCAGAAAACAATACCTAGATGAACAAACCTGATGCCTGTTTTACAAATTAAACCTTATAAAACCAAGCCAGGGGTTGTATTTAGCTCACAGGCCATGGTTTGCCAATGCCCGTCGTAGACCGTCCAGTACAACATTGTAAATTAATAAACTATATGGAGTTTTCTACTCCATATTTGGCTTAGCTCCCAAGGCCTACTAGGAAGATGAATACAGGAAAATAAAATCAGAAAAGGTGGGGGAGATTCTAGTACTGAGTGTTTGCTGTCCGTTTCTCCAGGGAAGTATTGATTATTCTAGAAGGTGAGGGAACAGTTTCCTCTGGGTTAAGTGATACTCTTCTCATTACTATGTCTTTGACATCATGACTTAGGTTAGCTTGGGAAAGGCCCATTCTCAGATATTCCTTGTATCCTTGGCTCTTAGCTTCTTTGCAGTTTCTTTTTCTCTGCAGTGGCATGCGCATGCAAGATGAGTCACAAACCCAGACATTAGCTTTTTTGTTGCTCCGTTT